TTAATATTTAAACATCTTCCCCACAGCTTCTGCAAGTTTCAGGACTTTTCTCCCCATGTTTTGTTCCATATGCATGTTTCTACATATACTCATGCTGCTTCCATTTGAACTTGGGATACAAAATTCAATCTTTTTACCTATATCTCCAAGAATCAACTCATGTCCAAGTCTCTTCTTGTTTAGGGTTGATGTTGCTAAAGATTTGTAGAGTTATTATTGAGCCTAGAGGGTGGCATTGAAACAAGTATGGCTTTCTGCCATCTTTCTGGCTTCAATGTCACTTCCTTCCCTTCCTCCAGCCCTCTCCCAGCCCATCCTCCACCTTCAGGGTAGCAGCCTAACTGCTGAGTTTATATGTTTCCTCCCAAACTCTTCTAGCCATACTAGGGGCTCCTATTTTCTTTCTTAACATATTCCCAAACAAATGTCCTTTATACAACGAATCCTACCAAATACAGCAGCTTTTTTCCCTCATCTAATTACAATTATAAATTTATAGACAAAAGTATGGAAGGTTACACATTATACCATTAATAGTCAAAATCTTTGGGGTTATGGGCTTGTAGAGGTTGGGGTATATGGTTGGCTAAGGAATTTTACACTTTCATGGGCAAATTTCTATGTTGCTTGAATTTCCTTGTATAGTATGTTTTATGTTGATAACCAAATAAAAAAAGGAGACACACAGTTCCAGTTCACTGTTTCTACCATCTGAATAGAAGGATATGAGACAAGTAAGAAACTGAGCCTGTCTGGTGATAAAATGCTGCAAAATGAAAGGAGAGACCAACCAAAAGAGACTTGCCTCTGTTCCATCTGATAGAACGTAAGCACCCCAGTGTGTTAGAGAAGGGGAGCTTAGATCTTCTTGGGTGATCTACCAGCGGAGACATATGGGCAGCTGAAAACCAGCATTTCCATATTAAGCAGCCATTGTACCCTGAAAGTAAAAGCCCTTCCACTTAGGCATGAGAAGAGCCTGTTGTTCAAATAAAATACTAGCTAATACCGTAGTTGTACACCTGCAAGTGAGAGCTCTGCTGAGAAGCTTGTCAGCAACTCCCCATCATGTTAAATAGCTGTGGAAGCGCCGGGTACCTGGCTGTTGAGACAATAACATGGACGGTGTCTCAACATTTTAAGGCTGTGACTAATCTTTGTTTCCTTCTTTTTTCTTATGCTTGAAATTAAATGTTTCTCTCTTTGGGGGAGCTGCTTTCCAAAGAAAATATTATTAATTGATAGCCCCGAGGATGGAAAATATCCACTTTTCTTGGAGGCCCAAGAAGTCCACAGGGATGCTATTTTGCTTCACATCTTTCTCTGTCCTCAGAGGCTCATGGGGCAGCAGAAAAGGTATAATGATCAGAATAAAGACAATGGTCCACTGTATACATGTACCACATCTTCTTTATCTATTCATCTGTCGTTGGACATTTAGGTGGCTTCCATGTCCTGGATATTGTCAATTGACATATACACACTATTATATGTAAAATAGGTAACTAATAAAAACCTACTGTATAGCACAGGGGACTCTACTCAATACTCTATGATGACCTATATGGAAAAGAATCTAAAAAAGAGTGGATATACGTATATGTATAAGTGATTCACTTTGCTGTACATCAACTAGCACAACATTGTAAATCAACTATACTCCAATAAAAATTAATTAAAAAAAGAATGAAGACTGCAAATCATGATAACAATGGCAGCTAAAATCTGAGTACTTGGTGCTAAGTTCCGCAATAAAGAATTTTACGTGTAAGAACTGACTCTATCCTTTCAACAGTCTAGGAGCTAAGTGGCATCATTTTATGCTTATCTTACAGATGAAGAAATAGCCTCAGTTAGACTACTCTGCTCAAGGTTAGTGATACAACTAGCCTGTCTCACCCAAAGGAGCCCTGACAAGAGCTGTTCACTTTACTAAGTGACTGAAATCCATTCAAAGGATGTTCAAAGGGACAAGAGATCAACCTCCTTGTTTTACAGATGGGAATCTGACCTCCAGAATAGTAATGGACATCATGACATCACAGATGTGAGCTAGCTGTGATTGATGAGGCCAGGAAACTGTATCTAGGACATCTCTGCTGCTCTAGTGTATAACAATGGGTCCAAAAGGAGGGAAGTCCCTAAGATTCTTACTGCCTCACTGAGTCTCACCAACATCTGTGCAAATCAGGTTCCAGCATTCACACTGAGCTTCTCAGAAGAAACCTTTCTCCACCTTCTAGGAAAAACCCTCCTTTGCCCCCGAGTAAGACTGACCAAATGGGTCAGGCAGACAGGAAGAGTGCTGGCTTGGTGGCATCTGGTTTTAGAATGGGAACAGATTGCTGGCATGTTCTGAAAGCCCATTAAATTTCACTGAATTATTAAGTCCCTTCCTTGCTCCTTCATCAGAGTGATCTGTCTTCTAGGGTTCCATTCAGTTCTTTCCAACTCTCCAATCCTCAGGAAAAAAGCCATGCTTTAAAGTGTTCCTGCACGGCTGAGTGTAGAAGCAAATGCCTTGATCAGACCAGCTTTGATCCCACTTTATCTTACTGCAGCACAGCCACTGGGGTAGAGAGGTGGCTGGACTGGGATGGAGAAACACTGGTGTCAGTGCATTCAACGCCCAGTTATGTTTTTTAAACCACTTTACTGAAGTATGACTGACAGCTCTCCGATGTTTAACTCAATAAATTTGGCATGCTGCTTCAGCCCTCTGAGTCCAACTTCTTCACCTCTAGTTTTACAAATGAGCTACAGTATCACTTTAACTGTCACACAGTGTCGAGAGGGCTAAGTAAGAAAGAAGTAAACACAAACCTGCTTGCAAATAAAAAGGCACAAAACAAATATAAGAAAGATGTTGAGTTACCTATTATTACAGTGTTGTGGAACATGAAACACCTGAGGCAGAGTCTTATGATTTGTCTACATTCTGTCTTTAACTTTTGTGGGTTTTGATACACCTCAAAAAGTAAGAAAGCTACCATACATGTACAATTGACTTCAAAGAATTTTAGATCGTGAGGGTTTGAACTAACTGACCTCCTTAGCACCATGGTCCAGGCTGCTGTGTTTACTATTCAGAAACTGAGTCCAGAGATCAAGGACTCACTGTTTTGTCTCCCTAGGTGTTTTGGATATTATCCCAAGTTACCATTCCTTCTAGCTCATATCCACTTTTGCATAAGAGGAAGAAAGACACTTAAGGGACCCAAATACATCACTTATGTTCCAAATTACCCCTCTGAGCTAGAAAGGTCATCCTGGAATCAGGCATGTAGAACAGAAAAGGCTTATACTTTTGGAAGACAAACACGTAATGAATAACAGAGACATACATGTGATAAAGACTGAACAGGAGAGAGCTGAGCAATCGACTAACATGACTCATTCTTACCTCATTCGTATTTATTAACAACAACAACGATAATGGCCTGCAGAATGGCTCCTATGTGTTAGGGCTTTACTTGCATCATCTCATTTAATCTTTCTAATAAACCTGTGCTGTGAAGGTTAATACCCACTTCTAAGGGATGAAGAAACTGAGGATCAAACATATTATGCAATTTGCTCAAGATTGCAAAATGAGCAAGGGATAGAAACGTGATTAGAAATCAGTGTTGCCGAAATCCAAACACTCGTATACAACACCACGGTGTTTCTCCTAAGGTGGACAGACTTCTCATGTCTTCCATTTTTGAATCATGCTTGGCAGGTAGTCAACATCCATTAGGTATTCCTTGATTATATTCGGTTAGCATTGCTGCACAACAGAATGGAAAGCTGGAGAAATGTGAGAAACTGCAGGATAGATGAGGTGGAATGATAAGAGGATTGAACTATTGCTGGTCTATCAGTCATAAATCCTTAGTTTTCTTTTCATCTTGAACATCATTGTATGCATGTGACCTTGAGCAATCCACTAAGACCTCTCCATGCCTTGGTTTTGATGCCTGTAAATAGGGACTATTGTACCTGCCTCACATACCCATCAGGGTGGTTCCAGAAATCAAATGAGCTGTCAGGACAAGTACTTGGCAATAAAAAGACATTGGTATTTTTATTGCTATTTATGACTAAGCATAAGGGTTTATAGTATCTCTCTCTGAAAAATAACTATGATAAACTTACATAAGCAAAAGGCTGGGAGGAGTGGGGCAAAGACATGAGTGGAGGGGAGTAGGAGGTGTGTGGGTGAGCACAATGAGTAATGTGGGCACTTCAGGGCATGGGAAATATTACAAGAGTTCATGAATTCAACCCAGGATAATGCGTCTGTGGGGTGAACTGGAGGGGAGACAGGTGAGCCACGGAAGTGGGTGCTGGGAGGAGTCAGAGATGGGAATGAATGACTCATTGTTCCCACTTCTGGACCCATCTCCTGGAAACACAAAGTAGGTGCCAACCCCACATAATAGCTTGGGGCAGGAACAAAAGGTTCATTTAAGAGATTTTTATTGGGCACCTACTAAGTGCATGGGAATGGGAAGACAGGGAAGAGTAACAATTATAAATAGAATAGTTGCAAGGACAAGGTGATACATTGAAAAGTGATTAAAACAGAACCTGGAATCAGTTCGACATTTGATAGACGGTAGTGATGATAGTGCTGGTGTTCATTTGATGCTCAGGAAATGTGGAACGTACAGATGTATCGTATGTCATGCCTGCCTTCAAGAAGCTCACAATCAGTTGGACCAGAACTAGAGCAGGACAGGAAAGACTTGAGAGGGGAAGAAAGAAGATGGGACTGCTTGCAAAAACAGCTATGTCTCACTCATTCCTGTATCAACACGTTTTGTAATGCTACTTGACAGCTTCCCCCATCAAGAGGTGGAGTCTACCTTGCCAACCCTTGAATTTGGGCTAGTCTTGGGCCTTGCTTTGCCAAAAGAATGTGGCAGAAATGACCTTGTGCCAGTTTTAGACTTAGGTTCAAGAGGCCTTGCACACTTCTACTTTCTGTCTTGAATCCCTGCCAGCTGCTATGAAGACAAGAGCAGGCTAGCCTGCTTGATGATGAAAGACACATGATCACGTCTCCCCTGTTGTCCAAGTCAACAGTTGGCCAACTGCTAAACGATGAGTGAGGCTGTCCTAGACCAGCCAGACCCAGTGGACCCACCTGCAGACTATAAACACAAGTGTGAGCCCTCCTGAGGTTCTCCAGGCCTGGCCATATCAGAAATTTCCAGTGGATCTAAAGACTTGGGGAAAACAGTAAGTTGTTTTTATTTTGAGCCACTAAGTTTTTGTATTGTTTGGTACACAGCGATAGTCAGCTGATACAGGACCTGATAATTGTGCACTACCATCTTCTCCTAAGAAGGTCACGACTGGTCTGTGATGTTTTGTGTCATTGACCCTGTTTTACAGATGAAGAAAGGAAGATTCATGAGGGGAGAAGTAACTCACCCAAGGTCACAGGGATAGAAGTGGTAGAGCCAGGATTTTACTCAGCATATCTGACTCCAAATTCTGTGTGCTACACTACGTCATGTTACCTTAAGTAAGGTGAAAAAACTGGTTTATGCGTTGATCAGGGTGGTTGGCGTGGGATAAAGACAGCAGGACAGGTCATCCACTAGTCAGGGGTGGGGCTCCTGGAAGGCGTGCACTAAAGTCTGAGCAAGAGAACACCAGGAGTGAAACCCACAAAGGTCAAATGGGATGAGTCTTGTCTTACCTCCTTAAACCACGAGAAAAAGGAAAACCTGATTAACCAGAAACAGTTCATGAAAGAGGAGGGATTTCAGGAAGAAAGAGTGACACAGGTGAGGACTCAGGACATGGTGAATCAACACCTCCATCCAGAAAGACGTGACCTTAGATGGGAAGAAGAAAGGGTGAAAAGTTAGAATATCATAGCCAAACTTAGACCACACAGAATTTCCAGTAATCCCTGCTGCCCTTTCCAAGGAGAAAGAAATTTGAAAGAAAAGCTTGTAAAGAGTGTTTTAATATCAGAGCCCAAGAAAATCTGTTTCTTGAATTATGCTCGGAAATCCTTCACTCTACCTCTCTCATTACCCCTTTGTTCAAGATTCTTACTCTTGGTCTATACGTAGAGAAATTCCTCAAGGTTTTTCCCTTGGGATTGATGTTACTGGTGCTCACCAAACAATTCTAATCGTATGATAGGATAAGCCTTCTGAGCACATAGTAGGATCACATTCCCTATCTTCTTTTTTTTTTTTTTTTTGTGGTATGCGGGCCTCTAACTGCCGTGGCCTCTCCCGTTGCGGAGCACAGGCTCCGGACGCGCAGGCTCAGCGGCCATGGCTCACGGGCCCAGCTGCTCCGCGGCGTGTGGGATCCTCCCGGACCGGGGCACGAACCCGCGTCCCTTGCATCGGCAGGCGGACTCTCTACCACTGCGCCACCAGGGAAGCCCCCCCAATCTTCTCGTGGTCAAGTGGAACACAAGACTAGTCCTGGACAATGAGTTGTAAAGATAAGTAATATATGCCTCTTCCATGCCAGGGAATTTAATGGATGAACTTGAGACCAACCAGAGGTCTTTTTTCCTCTGCTGCAAAGACCAATAACATCAAAGACGGTGGCTGCTCTACCAATCTGGATCCCTGAGTGACAGCAATTAGTAAAGTTCCTCTGCCAACTGATGATGAATAAGCAATAAATAAACCTTTGTTATTTTAAAACCCTGAGAATTGGACGTTGCTTGTTACTGGAGCAAAACCTAGTTTGTCTTCATCAATAGAGTACCTCCTCTTTGCTGGTCTAGGTCAGAATTTCTTAAAGTATGTTCTATGGAACACTAATTCTGAAAGGTTCTCTGTTGAAAGGATTCTATGATGAATAAACTCTGGGATACACTACCTACCCTATTTTCATCTTAGGAAATCCCCAGTAAAGATTGTGGAGCATATTGGAATATACTATTCTAGACCCTACCCTATCCATGGCAAATCCATCTATTCTTAAGATCTCAAACACCACAGCCATGTAGCTTATTTCTAAATATATTACTCCTATATCCTAGATATCCCCACATAGAATCTTCTTCTGGCATTTCAAATTCGGTATGGCAGGACCCAAATTCATGATCTTCCTATAACTCAATTTGCTCCTCCTGTTTGTTCACCATTACTCTACTAAGACATTAAATTACCTTCCATTTTCTTTATGTATACACATTTAAAAGCTCTCTAAAGTCATGGAATCTATCTAGTCTATCACTACCTATGCTTACGCCAAGTACAAACAGTGGCACATAATAGATGCTAATAATGTTTGTTGAATGACTGTCACCTGGGAAGCACCTTAGAATCTTGAAGGTGTTTATTATGTCCTTTGAAACATTACACTCATAAAAATATACAGGCTTTGCAGTTGAAGAAAGTTAGGTATGAACTTCAGCTCCCCCATTCATATTTTGCAAAACTGGTATGTTTTCAAACTTATCTGTAAACTCGAGCTTACAACATCTACCACATAACGTTATAGTAAATATTAAATGAAGTTCATTGTATTGCCTCACGGAGCATGAAAAATGTACTCAAAAATTTGATCTTTCTTGCCTCTCCTCCTGAACAAGTAACTATCATTGCCAACATTTAAGTCCTGCTGATAAAATCTGAGTTGTTATTTTGGGAAAATTACACAAGTTTTATGAAGATTGCCTTCAACCTATCTTAGAAAATCTCTCTGTGATCAACACTTGATTGTGATTCTATCTTCTTAATGCCTTCTTGCTCTATTCACATCTTTCTTGCGCTCTCCTTGGTATATTTGCCTTGTTTCTGGCCACCATCATCCGTCCCCCACCTCCATGTTTTTGACTATCCCTTAACTATTCTCTGGCCTTTAGCCTTTTCACTAACTCATTCTCCACATTTCTCCCTGAATGATCTTCTAAAATGAAAGGAATTACTCCCCTCCTCAGAATCTTTGAATGCCACTCCATTGCTCTTAGAATAAAGACCAAGCTCCCTACTTGGCTTGACTTATCTGAAAGATCCTTCAGACTATGCCCATTTTTACCATTTTAGCCTTATCTCCTACCAGTGTTCACTTCAGATCCAATGCTTCAACTGCACTGAGCTAGTTTGGGTTATGCAAACATGCCTTGCTCACTCTCCTGACCGTGCCTTTGGCAATGCTGAGCCTCTGTCTGGGACACTGTATCTCAGCCCTTCACCTACCTAGCTCCAATTGATCCTTCAAGGATTAGTTCTTGTATTACCCTGTCCAGGAAACCTTCCCTGGCCTTACTTTATGGCCAGTCATTTACTCTTCCCAATGACCCTAAAGATAGGTATCATTTGTGTCAAATTTTACAGATAAAAGAGTGAAGACTGAAAGAGATTTAGTGACTTTCCAAAGGTCCCACAGTAAAGAAATGGTGGAGCCAGAACAAGAATGTGAGCCAAATGAGTTCAGAGCTGCATTCTAGACTACTTACTTCGTTATAGTGTCTCCCCAAGGAATGAACTTGTGCTAAGTTTCTCCTTCGTGTTCAGCATTGTGCTAGATCCTTTATAGCATCTTCACATTTAACTCTCTTAACCCAAACCATGCAGGAGTTAAAGACGCTTATTCCTTGGAAAACTAATTTTTAGAGAGAAGAATTATCTTGTTAAGGTTCCCAGGTGGTAGAGACTTCTCTAGGTTCTTTCACTGGGCTGCTTCCCCTGGAATCCTCTCCCTCCTTCTGATCTGGTGGGAAGTTTGCCTAATCCTTCTCTTAATGGCCAGCCCCAGATGATTTTCCAAACTCACTAAGTTAAGCTTCTTTGGAAGGCCATCTATTATTCACTCACTCAACAAGCACTTACTGAGATTCTAGAACATACCAGGCCCTGTTTAGATGATGATGAACAAAACAAAGTCGCTGCCCTCATGCAGCTTACATTCAACGGAGGAGAGACAAAAAGTAAATGTACCAAGAAGTAATATAAGTAACATATGATAAGGTAAGGGCTAGAGAGAAAAATAAAGCAGGATGAAGGGATGGAGAATAATGATAGATGAGCTTTTGAACAGAATGGTTCAAGATATAATCTGGGAAGACCTGACATCTGAGTGAATATATGAATCACTCCTTTAGACACAGGATTGTCTTTTCTTTCCTCTCCCCAGTGTCTTTTAGCACCACACACGCACACGCACGCACACACACACACTCAGGCATGCATGCGCTCCCACCTCTCACATACTTACACAAACACACGCATACACATAAACACACACTCACACACATTTATGCATATGTGCATGTCTTACCTTCCTCCATGGCCCCAGTGATTAACCTTGGTTACTTCTGTGTTCACAGCATGAGGCTACCGATTTTCCATTCACTCTTCCTTTCACAAAGTGCTTTTATAAGATCAGTGTTCATAAGCATCATGCAAAAAGCTCATTAAAACACACATTTCTGGGACACAACCCAGGCTACTCTAAAGAGGTTGGCCTGTGGTGGGCCCTGGAAATTTTACTGTTAATCTAAGCCCCAATGATTCTGATGCAGTGTCAGGGGCTCAGTTTCTCATCATTCAGAACTGTTCTACCTCTGAGGCTTTAGAAAGAAATTCTCCTCTTCCAGAGTTGTGGGGCGGGGGGGGGGGGGGGGGGGGGGTTGGATCAACAATTGACTTTGGAGTCAACAAGACTTGAATTTCAAATCCTTTTACTCAGTTTTCATAAATCTTGCTTATCTAATCTATAGAATGGGGAAATGATACCTACCTCATTGGGTTGCTGAAAAGATTAGATGAGATAATATATGTGAAAGATGCGATACTAAGCTTTGCGGGGGGACCCTACTAAGCGCTATATTGGTTCCTCTTCAGTTCTCTCATGGCATTATCTAACTGGTTCCACCCCTACTCCTTCACAGACCCTCTAGAAGTTCAGGGGTTCCCTAGTATTCTCCTTACATTTTGAAAAATCTGACAAGACTGAGAGTCAAGAAAGAATGACTTGGAATAAAATACTTATATACAGAAAAAAAAAAATGAATGAATGACTTGCCCCAGTTACACAAACATTTAGTTTCTGAACCAGAATAAGAGCTGAGGTTGCTGAACTCCCAGATATTCTTTTCACTACTTAGTCATCTCTATTCTGGTTTGGAGTTATGCCTTCCTGAGTTCCCAAGGAAGGAGAGGATGTTCTATTTAGAGGCATCACAGTAGTGTGAATATAGGTTAGGTCTCTTCAATCAGATTGCCTGGGTCACATCTTTGCTTCTATCATCTGGTTATCTAGTTGTTGGGTGGCCTTGGGCTAATCTATATAAATATATATTGTGTTATATGTATTTCTGTGCTTAATACATTATATTATATGTATGTATTTATTTATGCATGTATTTTTGGAGATGTTAAGTTAAACGGTATAGCCTAGAAATTGTCATAATAAACATCTAGTTTCAATCCCCTGTTTGCTAGTTCTATGACTTTGGACAAGTAGTCTAAACTTCTTGAGCCTCAGTTTTTTTCATATCTAAAATGGAACCGTGATATCTAATTCTTAAGTTGTGTATGTGTGTGTTTTAAGACAGATAATGCGGGACTTCCCTGGTGGTCCAGTGCTCCCAATGCAGGGGGCCCGGGTTCGATCGCTGGTCGGGGAACTAGATCCCACATGCCTCAACTAAGAGTTCTCATGCCGCAACTAAAGATCCCTCCTGGTGCAGCCAAATCAATGTGAATAAATAAATATATATATTTTTTAAAAAGATAGATGATGCATGTTTAACATATAGCACAAAATCGGACATTTAGTGGATACTGAATAAGAGTTGACATCCCCATGCCATGTATCTCTCTCAGAGTTTGAAAGATAGTAGACAACAGACCTGATAAGAAGTTGACTATTTATTTCATGAATTCAAGGAGCACCAAATGCAATACTTTGCTAGGTAGTATCTGATAGCGCTCCCCTCTGGCCCCCAGATAGAAATGCAAACATCTACTTCAGAAGAGAAAATTCAGTTTTATTCTAGTGTCTGTCCCATTTTTATTGGCAAGGGCCTCTCGTACGGTGCCTGTTTTCCATTTGATGATAACTATGTCAGGTTCCTGTTGGCTGCCCTGTGAATCTACACCTGGGCACTGGATCATCACTCGCTTCCTGAGCTGGAATATTTAAATCTGCTCTCCAGCTTGAAATATTTAAATATCTTCACATGTAATATCTAAATATTTTAAATATCTTCACAACTTACGTCCTGTCTGAACCCATTTCACAGTCAAAAGATTAATATTTTAGAACTTGTGTCTAATAAGCAGAGGTGCCAGTTGAGGCTTTCCTGCATGAGGGGCTCTATTTCAGGCATTTTTTATTTAATTTATTTTTACATGTAATCTTATATAATCCTGATAAAAGATCCTTTCAGAAGATCTAGTTATCACCATCTTAATATGAGGAAATTAAGGTTCAGAGAGAGTGAAGGGGTGAAAACTTAGCCAGAATCACAGATCTAATGAATGCTTTGAGTCCAGGCATATGTGACTCCAAATTTCACAAGAGGAAACATTTTCTTGCTTTACCTTTTTCTGTTTATGTTCTATAGATTGAGGAAATCTCCCTATTACTGAATTCAATACTTGGCTAAGATGAATTTTCAATTTTCTAGTTAGAGTCTCAGGGAATTACTGAATGGGATATTTTATTCTTTTAATTGAAAAATATAACACAAATA